AAGATAGAAATTATTTCAAGCATCTTTTCTGACCACAATGGCAGGAAACTAGAAATCAACCACAGAAAGAGAACAAGAAAAAAATGATTAGATGATGACTAAACAACATGTTACTAAAAACCAAAAGGTCAAAGATGGAATCAAAGAAGAAATTAAAATATACCTTAAGACACATGACAATAAAAACTCAACCACACAAAATCTATGGGATGCAGCAAAAGCAAGTTCATAGTGATACAGGCCATCCTCAAAAAACAAAAACATATCAAATAAACAACCTAACCTACCACCTAAAAGAATCAGAAAAAGAAGAACAAACAAAAGCTAAAGTCAGCAGAAGGAAAGAAATAAAGATCAGAGGGGAATTAAGTAAAACAGAGATTTAAAAAATATCAGGAAAAAAACAATCAAATCAAGAACTGGTTTTTTGAAAGGGTAAACAAAATCGACAAACCTCTGGCCAGGTTCACCAAGAAGAAGAGAGAGGTCACAAACAAAACAAGAAATGAAAGAGGAGAAATAACAACTGATACCAAAGATACACAAAAAAAACATGAGAATAATATGAATAATTATATGCCAACAAGCTGGACAACCTAGAAGAAATGGACACGTTTCTAAAAACACACAGTCCACCAAAACTGAATCAAGAAGAAATAGATAATTTGAACAGACCAATCACTAGAAGTGAAATAGAATCCATTTAAAAACAAAATAAAAGTCCAGGACCAGATGGCTTCAGAGGGGAATTCTATCAAACATACAAAGAAGAACTCATATCGATCCTTCTCAAACTTTTCCAAAAGGCTGAACAGGACGAAACACTCCCATACTCATTCTATGATGCCACCATCACCCTGATACCAAAACCAAAGACACTCACTACCAAAAAAAAAAAAAAAAAAAAATCACAGGCCAGTATCTTTGATAAATATAGATGCAAAAATTCTCAACAAAATATTAGCAAACTGAGTCCAACAACACATGAAAAAGATCATACACTATGATCAAGCTGGATTTACCCCAGGGTCACAAGGATGGTTCAACATATGCAAATGTATGTGATACACCACATCAACAAAAGGACCAAAACTACATGATCATCTCAATAGATGCAGAAAAAGCATTTGATAAAACTCAACCTCCATTCATGATAAAAACTCTTACCAAAGTGGGTACAGAGGGAACATATCTCAACATAGCAAAAGCTATTTTTGACAAACCCACAGCCAACATAACATTCAACAGTGAAAAAGTGAAAGCCTTCCTGCTAAAATCTGGAAAAAGACAAGGAGGCCCACTCTCACCACTTCTATTCAACACAGTACTGGGAGTCCTAGCCACAGCACTCAAACAAAGAAAAGAAATAAAAGGGATCCAAACTCGAAGAAACAAAAATGTCATTATATGCCGATGACATGCTACTATACATAGAAAACCCTAAGAGCTCCACACAAAAACTACTAAAACTGATAAAAGAATTCAGCAAGGTAGCAGGATACAAGATTAATTTACAGAAATCTGTTGCATTTCTTTACACAAACAATGAAATACCAGAAAAGGAAGGTAAAGAAATAATCCCTTTTAAAATTGCCATCAAAAAACATAAAATAGTTAGGAAAAAGCCTGATCAAGGAGGTGAAAGACTTATACATTGAGAACTATAAAACACTGATAAAGAAAACTAAAGATGATTTAAGGAAATGAAAGATATCCCATGCTCTTGGGTTGGAAGAATTAATATTGTTAAAATGGCCATACTGTCCAAAGCAATCTACAGATTAAATGCAATCCCTACCAAATTACCCAGGACATTTTTCAAAGAACTAGAACAAATAATCCAAAAATTGTATGGAATCACAAAAGACCCAGAATTGCCAACGTAATACTGAAGAAGAACAAAACTGGAGGCATAACCCTCCCAGACTTATAGACAATACCATAGAACTACAGTAATCAAAACAGCATGGTATTGGCACAAAAACAGACATATGGATCAATGGACCAGAACAGAGAGCCCAGAAATAAACTTATACATCAATGATCAATTAACCTTCAACAAAGGAGGCAAGAATACACAATGGAGAAAAGAGTCTCTTCTTCAAGTGGTATTGGGAAAACTGGACAGCCACATGTAGATCAGTAAAGTTAGAACACTCCCTC